ACACACACACACACACACACACACACACACACACACACACACACACACACACACACACACACACACACACACACACACACACACACACACACACACACACACACACACACACACACACACACACCGAAAGACACACACTCAGGCAGACAGGAGGCTGTCTCGTCTCCATTCTCTCAGCCTCCTGTCAACTGATTTATTCGACACCTGTCCTTTCACCTGACTGTTACATTTGCGCACGCCTATTATCTTTGTAAATGTATTACTGTGCAGCTCAGGTGTATGCATTTTGATATGTTTGTGTCATTCACAAAATGTTTGCATGTGTGTGTGAAAAACACTTACAGTGAAGTGAGCGAGCGCAGGCCACTAAACGCATCTTCCGCAATCTCAGATATCTGATTCTTGCTCAGGTCTCTGTAATGACATAAATAGAGATAATACAGCCGACTGTTAAACCAACAAAGGGATGCTTTGCACATTTGTCTGACAGGACATCGATACTCCATAAATACCCAACAAACTCGATACTGAGGAGAAAGAACATGAGAAACTGCCTTGTGATCATCATTAGCATCTAATCTTTAAAGAGGTAGTTCACCTAAAATTGAAAAGCATTTACTTTTTCTCACGTTAAGCTTTCACATGACTTAGATTATAGCGAAATTAGCTGTGTGGACCAGTTTTTAGCTATTTAACTTTGCAATGACAAGATTTTCTCAGTTTTGGGTTGTTGAGGTGGAAATAAACTCTTCAACGATTCAGTGAGAAGCGGTTGTGAAAAATGTACACAAATTCTTTATTGTTTCTTAGGTGTGTTTGCTTGAGCATATTCTTCAAAATACTGAGCTCTTCACGTCAAGGCATCAGTGCCAAAGCAGAGGTGAGAAGATCTGAAGTTGTGTCTAAAATACAGATTTTCTTGTGCAGGGTGACATGCCTCTAGAAACTGCTGTGCGTGTTATGAACCCTTCTACTATGTTTTCAATGCGGTTGACAGGAGATCACTTGCAGCAGGTATAAAGTTCATACATATGCTGAAAAAGTATAAAAAGAAAGTGTGTATATTTCTAGATGTGTCAAAATAGAGGAATGGTTAGCTGATTTTAAAGTGTTTTCTGGATGTACACTATCGTTCAAAAGTTTAAGGTCAGTAAGATTTTTGAAAGAAATCTCTTATGCTCACCCAAGGCTGCATTTATTAAAAAATAACAGTAATATTATTACAATTTAAAATAACTTATCTATGTGAATATATTGTAAACTGTAATTTATTTCTGTGATCAAAGCTGAATTTTCAGCATCATTACTTCAGTCTTCAGTGTCACATGATCTTCAGAAATCATTCTAATATGCTGATTTGCGGCTCAAGAAACATTTCTTATTGATTAATATTTTTGCAGAAACCATGATACATTTTTTTTTCAGGATTTTTTGATGAAAAAAAAAAATAATCAGATCAGTATAGTGTAAATAGTGTGAGGAAGTTCTTACATTCTCTTCAGTTTCTTGTACATGGAAAACGCTCCTGCTGGGATGCTCTTGATCATGTTCTGCTCCAGACGGCTACATGGGAACAGATAGATGTTTTGTTACACAACGCTGACTTTTCCATTACACTAGTAATTGCATATAATAAAATTCCGAAACAAATATGGCACAGCAGAGAAAAGAAAACGATGTAATATTCCTGTAGGTGTTTCACAAATGTACATGCACCATATCACATTTATTCCACTCACAACACAGATCTGCTGGTAATTTCATTTCTCAACGTCTGAAAGCATGTAGAGGAGTGTTTTACGGGCCCACTCTTAAAAAATAAATGTTTCAACTAAAACCGAAAGGCCTGATTTTCAGTTCCAAATAACGTGGTTCTTTAGCTCTTTATGTAACCATCTACTGTATATACTTGTGCTTTAAAAAAATCAGAAACCATGCTGATCTGAATAACCTAATCCATTAAAAAAAAAAAAAAACATATTTAGAATGATTTCATTTATTTACTATTTTTTATTTATTATCGGAAACAGAGCTATAGAGCGAGAGTGAATAAAATGTTCTTGATGAAACAAGGGTGCTTTCTCAAATCTAAAGTGCTAAAAAAAAAAAGTCTTTCGTTGAAGAACTTTTTGTTTTTGAGAGTCTGGCTGGTACTTAAGGCTCCTTCAGGAGATCTACAGAGAAAGCCATCTAATGCTTTACGGCAGCCTGTACACTGAGTGTTCAATTTGTGTTTTGGCTCACTGGGATAAAAGGGCAGAGAAAACAAGTCCCTGAGAAATAAGCACAGCTCTCTGCATGCTCCAGGTTATACATCATTTCATTAGCCCAATTTGTTTTTGGCCATGGGCTCGGTTGAGCTAATGTGTCCAAGCCTGCATATCCATTTATTATGCAAAGGTCATACACTATTGACATAACAACAAAAGCGAGGAACAGCACATATCAGGGCAATTACCTACCTGTCCTTTAGTGCAAACAAGGATCTCTGAATCAATATGGATACCAAATACCCTGACCAAGATGATATGGACATTCTCCAAAGCACAAGAACATTCAATCAGCCTGAGGCAAGACGGCCAAAACACATTGGAAAAACTCAAGTGTTTTCTTTGTAACAGTATGCATGTGTGTGTACTGCTGCTCTGCTATATGATCATTAAACACGACATCCCAGCCTTATGCGCACAATGGAAATGTTGGCCTTGCAAATTTCCCATGCGCAACCGAAACGTCCTTGTTTATTGGAGGATACCGCAAAACCTCTTTTGGACGTTCTCTTGTATTTGAAGGACACCGAATACAGAAGTGGCTGGAACAACAACAAGGTCAGATGTTTTAAATGCAGACGCTGTATGAATTACAATAATTTGATGGCTTTTTAATAGGAATGCTAAAGTTAATCTGCTAACATTTGCATTACGCAAGCTAACATACCCGGCACAATAAAGCAAAGGTCATATAAAAAAGTTAATAGGCAGAAAAACTGACAATAGCATTAATCTAATAGTTGCTTTAAAAAAAACTGTGGCTTTCTCATAAAAAATATATAACCGAATCGCACAAAAAAGACTCAATCATCAAAAGACCTTCAATGACAACTAAGAGAACAGGGAATAGGTTTTAGAGAATATCTTCCAAAATTAGTTTAAAATGGACATTTACAAAAGTGATGTTTCCTTGTGAGACTGTCTAGAATTATCCACGTTTGGGATTTCAAAAGTTCTGGTACTAAAATAAAAGAAAGGAAATTATAACTTTCTACTACTGAGAACAGGCTCAGTTCAAGGTCTTGGTTAAAATACGCGTCTTTGTGAAGTGTTAATATAAATGTAATGTAAGACAGTCGGTTATGTCACAGTGTAAATGCAACCTAATAGATCTGCTGCTGCTTATTATGTTTTTAATATTAATAAAAAAACACTATTAGGTAGTGCTGTCAATTGACTAATTAATCGCACATTAGAAACAACATAAAGGTGGTATATTTTAAATATGTGTTTAATGGCATCTTTTTACTAAGTAGCCTATTATTAATGAAGGCCAGTATCACATAGCTTACTTCTACTGATGTCTCTATTAAATTAATTTCCCTCAGTTATAGACATTAATTATAGCCATTCAACATCACATAAACTATAAATTGCACATGCATAAATTATACATTATACACATACATACACATATATACACATATATACATGCATAAACTATATATATACACCTTGCTACGTGTACTGCGTTAGGCTAACTGAGACTTGTCATTTGCACTTATATATTGTTGCTCTTTTGTTAGTTTTGACTGCTTTTATTGTCCTCATTTGTAAGTCGCTTTGGATAAAAGTGTCTGCTAAATGACTAAATAAATAAACTAAATCTAATTTGCATATTAATGTGTTTTTGGGGCAACATGTAATGAAGAAAGAAGTGTAATAATGGGAGTAATAATTGACAAGATTTTCATATTAATATATAATATTTCATAGGAATATTGAAATATATTTTCTTTCCCTTTTAATTTGTTGTCTCACAAAATGCATAATAAACATGCTTTTAGTCCCGGTGTCCTCATATGAGGACATGTATGAAATCAACCTCCTGTTTCATAACAGAAAGTCATATTTGATTTGAAACCCCATAACATTTTCCTGAGATGTTGATTTATGACACACAGTTTAAAAATTTGTCAGATTTAAATGATAATTACAAGATATTATCATATTTCCATAAGTGTGTCACTAAATTAATATCAGACATTTTTGAAGACCAAGGAGAGGGAGTGCTCGTGGTGAAACATCCAAACATTTAGTATCTCTGAAAAGCCCTGAATGTGCTCTGTACAGGACATCCAGACTTAAAACTCTGGCATGTCTCAGAGAAATTCACTAAAATATAATGTCCTCATATGAGGATGCAGGGTCTCAGGAGGTTAAGACTGTGTTTACGAGGTTACTCGCCAAAAATGGGCATTGTGACATAATTTTGTGTGTTTTTTTGTGTTTTCATATAGTTTACTGTAATCCTAGCCAAAGGATGGTAGGAAAAAATGGATGCTGCGTTAACTGCGTCAAATATTTTTAACGCGTTAAACTGACAAAAAAACGCACAATTAACGCCTTAAAGGGGTCATATGATGCTGCTGAAAAGCACATTATTTTGTGTATTTGGTGTAATGAAATGTGTTTATGCGGTTTAAAGTAAAAAAAAACACATTCTTT